AAATGATATTGATATGTACCTTGAACCATTAATAGACAACCTGAAGGTATTGTGGACCTCAGGGGTTCCCACTTATGATACGTTTAGACAAGAGACCTTCACCTCACAAGCAATTGTTTTGTGGACTATTAGCGACTTCCCCGCTTATGGGAACTTGTCCGGTTGGAGCACACATGGGAAATTAGCATTTCCTCATTGCAACTACCAGACTGAGTCGACATATCTAAAAAAAGGTAGTAAATATTGTTATATGGGTCATCGTCGTTTCTTGCCCATGTCACATGTTTTTCGTCGACAGAGGAAAACCTTTAATCTTTCTAACAAAAGATAGCAAAACACCTTCCCCCATGACCGAATGGGAATGCCTTTGGCGGTTGTCCATTTTACGGTTCGAATATGGTACGACCCCACGAAAAGAGGTTGGAGATAAAAGACCACCACCTAGACCAACAATTGGGCCATGGAAGAAACATAGTATTTTTTTTCAAATTGCCGTATTGGGAACATCTTGTCCTTCAACACTGCCTTGATGTCATGCATATTGAAAAAATGTCACTGAAAGTTTGGTTGCAACTCTGCTGGTTATTGTTGGGAGTAAGGATAACTTGAATGCAAGGTTGGACCTAGAATTGATGGGCATGAAATCAGAGTTGCAGAGAAAATTTGTTAATGGAAAGCCAAAGATGCCTCCCGGTGCATATACTATGAAACCATTGGAGAAGGAATTATTTTGCAAGGTTTTAGCCTCAACAAAAGTGTTTGACAATTACTCGTCAAATATTTCACGGCTTGTGCATGTAAAGGAAAAGATTGTAAGGGGACTTAAAAGTCATGATTGGCATGTTTTAATGCAGCAATTCCTTCTAATTGCCAAACGCAAAAGCCTCCCAACTGGGACTGCACGGATATTATTGGAACTAAGTGCATTCTTTAGACATTTGTGTACTAAAAAAGGGTCGGTGGAAGGATTTCGCAAACTTACACCCAAAGTAGTTATGATCCTATGCCAATTGGAAAGGATATTACCCCCCTGCATTCTTTGTCATCAATCTTCACCTCACAATACATCTTGTCGAGGAAGCTGCACTTGCAGGTCTGGTACACTACAGATGGATGTACCCAATTGAGAGGTATTCCTCGACTTTTACTATGTTTCCATGGGTATTACATTTGTGCATCATACAATTTATAACAGCAAAACTGAGTTTGTAGTATTTAAATTAGGTACCTGCTAACCTTGAAGAAGTATGTTCGAAATAAAAATCGACCTGAGGGAAGCATGGCCCAAGGAATCCTAATGAGTGCTTGTCTTTTTGTGCGATGTACTTGGAAGGCGTGGAGACACGTTTGAACCATCTAAGCCGAAATGCAGATAGAATACATCCTGACCATGAGGATGACATTGACATATTTTGTGCCACCGGGCATTCAATTGGTATGCGGGAAGATTATCATCTTGACAACCACGATTGGGAGGTTGCACGATCGTATGTTTTAGTCAACTGTGATAAGTCAATGGCATATAGGAGGTAATTAAACTTAAATGTTATAGACTGCAGTTGAATGGCCCCAAATTCTGAAACTTGACTGTAATATTTAGTGATTTACACAATTCAACTAAACTTCAAGAAAGAGACATTTTGACCTGGGTGCAAACTGCAAATGTGGGAGATTCATAATTGAACTTTCAAACGTTATCGTTGTATTTTCTTATTATCGGAGATTCAGAGAGTTCATATAATAAAATAAAATAATTGAAAATCAGGGTAAAGAAACAATATATATACTTGCTGTTAGTATGAAGTTTTCTTTTTCACCAATAATCAGCACAAGAACAAACCCCACTCTCAAAATGGTGGAACCTATTGCGATCCCTAACGACAATCTTTCTGTTGGTGATCTTAGCTATCAATTTGATCATTGAGTGGCAGTCACTGCAAACCCTTAAGTTATTTACAATCCTCAAAGTCGTACCTCGTTTTGCAGCAATTAGCCCATTACATATCGCAAGCCTCTCACCATGTATCGACAGAGCCAATTCCTTTTGCGTATCTTCAATATCATGCAAAACCGCCTCTGTTGTAGGCAAGTATCCTTCTGATTTCAGTTCATGGATTAGCTCCGTTAACTTTTTGTAGATTTCCTCTTTCTTCGGGTGTCTGAGGTCTCCCAAGAGGAACTCATGGATCTCATTGTTTACTTCAATCAAGCTACAACCAGGCTCCTTTGGGGTTCCATTTTCCTTCATCTCTGCTCTCACTTGTGCAACCTCTTTCCACCTCCCTGATGAAGCATATGCATTTGATAGCAGTACGTAAGTTCTTGAATCTGCGTTACCACAATTCACCAATATTTCGGCTACCCTTTCTCCTAATTCGAGGTTCCCATGCATTTTACAAGCACTTAGCAAAACCCCCAACATGATATAATCCGGTGCCATTTTCATTCTTGCAATGAAATTGTAAGCTTCTTCAAGCTGACTCGAGCGACCTAGAAGATCAACCATGCATCCGTAGTGTTCTATCTATGGTTGAATGCCGTGAATACTACTCATGGAATGAAATATCTCAAAACCCAAATCCGACAAACCTCCATGGCTACATGCATTCAATACTTTAACAAAAGTAATGCTATTTGGACTTAGTCCTTGTTTTATCATTGTCTGGAACATTTGGATAGCCTCAATGCTCTTCCCATGCCTAGCAAGCCCCTCAATCATGGAATTATAACTGCTCACATCTCTCTCCTTCATCTTACCAAACACTGCCAGTGCCTCATCAATATCACCACACCTCGAATACATATTAATCAGAGCACCACCTACAATGTAATTGAATTCGATGTCATACTTATCTATGTAAGAGTGAACCCATCTTTCGAGCTCCAATGCTCCCAAATACGAACAAGCAGATAAAACACAAACAACAGTAACTTCATTAGGCCTCACATTATTCCTCTGCATCTCCCTAAACACCTTCAAAGCCCTATTCATCTCCCCATTCCTAACCAACCCATCAATCATCGCAGTCTAATCCTTACTCCTATCACGGTTAAAAACCCCAATCGCCTCCTCAATCAACCCATAATCAGAAAAAGAAGTGATCATCACTGTTGACGCAACGACATCCCTATCAGGCATTTCATCGAACACCCTCCGTGCAAACTCAAATTCACCACACTTCCCGTAAAGATCCAGAAGCTTCATCCTCACTGAGCGATTCGATGACAACCGAAGCTTCAAAACCTGCGCATGGACTCCTCTCCCCTCCTCCAACGCCAACCCAAAGCCACAAGCTTTCAACACAGAAGTTACCACATAGTTATCCGGTGAAACAGACTCGTTAACCATTCGATAGTAAACCCAAATCGCATCGAGGTAAAACCCAGTCGACACGAACCCGTCAATGAGAGCAGTGTAGAGGTAGACATTTGGGGTTTGAATTTGCCGGAAAATCTTGGTGGCGTAGTCGATTGAGTTGAGGTTGGAGCAGAGGCGAAGAAGCTCGAAGACGACGAATGAGTCTTGGCCTTGGAAATTTCTTATGATTTTTGTGTGGATTGGCGGAACCTGATGAATTTGTTTGCATTTTTGTATTAGAGACATTGTTTCTCTCCGGTTTTGGGAATCCCTAGGTTTTGGATTTGAATTTCGCGGGAATGCCGAGTTCAATGGAACCGTTGTCGTTGAGCAACTCATATTTTTGGCGGTTCATTCACCAAGTAACCAAACGCGGAAGAGGTCCAACGCACTACTCTTCTTATGTTGTCGAGGCACTTTTCAGTTTCTTACTTGGTCAGGACATCAAGTATCATAATACCAGTGATTAGAGAAAAAAATTTCAAGTATACAATTACTTGTATTATGATATTTAGTGTAATGGACCATCTTTTTGGCACACTAAGAAAATTTCTCCATGTTGTTAATATGTTAAATACTGTAAGGGAGTATCTAATATTTTTCTTATTTGTAAGTTATTATGTCAGGTCAGGCGTGCTTCACATGACCTTAGAAATTTGATGGATAACGAATTTAATGCTAAATTATTATGCCAGGTTATGGTGTGCTTTTTTTGAAAATGCTTTCATTAAAAACATGTTTCAAATTCATGTTAGAACTCAAACGCTTTATATTTCTTTAGAAAACGCTTCTATAGCCCCCAAAACATTCTTTAACTATTTAACCAGACGCTTTCATGGAGTAATTTTTCGGTGTACCCGGCACACCAAATTTTTTTGGTGTACCCTCACTCATAATGGTGAGGGTGCACCAAAAAAATTTGGTGCACCCTCACTTTTTGTACACCAAAAAAATTCTAATGAGTGAGGGTACACCAAAAAAATTTGGTGTACCCGGTACACCTAAAAATTTTTTGCTTTCATGAATGCTTTTAGTTGTAAGATTTCCAAATCCGTCCAAAACACAATTAGACCTAAATTATATTATAACATATGAGTTGGTTGTACATGCAATGCAATAGAATTTCGTAGTCCACAACAATTTCTCAATAAGAGTTGACAATAAACACACCCCTATCCCCAGCCTAATTTATTAACCAATAAATTCTCATCAACTCTAAAAGAATTAGAAGTACCCAGCCTATATCAAAACTAAGAACATGCCCAAATACATAAGAAGGTGAAACCTATTTGTCTATATTTGCTTTGAGTAAAGCTACATGTTTAACATTTGGTAACCGCTTCTGAGCAATGTGACTGGTAAATATGATCAAGTAATTTTAGTTCTTAATATTTGTAATACGTGTAGATAATAATGAAATGTGTCGCGTATAGCCTACTTAAGATTTTAGTAAGCAAATGCTAAGCAAAGAACACAAAAATGCAGTCCACTTCCGTTAGAAGCTATCAATCCTGATAACTAAATCACCAATCTAATTCTGCAACAATATTATAAATGAGATTAGTACGAGAAAGAATTCCTGGAATACATGAACTCCTGCAACTGCGGTTTAAAAGCGAATTCAAGTCCTAGCTATGCACACAAGATGTTCATATGCCATCGCAGAAAATCCGAGCAACGAGCATATATGCATTGAAATTGCAGGTTCAGGAAAACCAATTCCCGGTAGGGTTGCTCAGCCAGATGATCAACGGGAACTGAGAAAACGCGATACCTAGCAACATATAATGATGCATGTTTGCATCATAACTGTTGATCTCAGCATACAAAGTTATCTTAATTGTCTTTGCCAAGAAGATGCCTGAGCACATGGATGTCCATATGATTATCAAGTAGTACGCATAGCTTAGCGTGATTCGCCCTAGAACCGCCACACACAACCCTGTGAAAGTGTACCCAGTATATGCTATCATGTCTAGCAAAGGTGCCTCTCCACCCCCAAGTGAAGACAACGATGCCTTGAGCAACATCACTTGGAGTAGCCAACCCACCATTCCCTTCACAAACTGCCAATTTATAGCCTCTGGGCTGAATCTGGCATGACATGAGATAAGAATTAAAACTACTTACGCTGCTTAAATATCAGGTTTTGAGGATGCTATAGACTTACTTCCCAGAAAGACCTAGTGAGATCCCAGCGAGAACCAAGTACGTTGCAAATGTCATGAATGGAATGTACAAGTCTGGGGCATGTATGTCAGTAATTGGAGGGTTATACGAAAGCCTGCCTCCAACTGGCTCTGTCATCCTCGTCCAGTGCCCCTAAACAAAATGAGATATAGAAAATTAAGAAAATTAGAAGTTTTAACAGATTTGTTTATGAGTAGCTAATAGGGGTCATTGGCACCCTTAAGTTCAAATTTCTACATACCCTGTGCAGAAATGGAAACAGAATTATCTTCAGTTTGTTTCGGACGTAGTGGGAGTTCACTTGGAAGTAGTATTGAGGATCTGAGAAGTACTTGCTTATCTGCACATTTTGGACAAAACAGTAAGGAAGCAAAATAACATTCACAGAAAAAAATCATCATGTCATTTGTCACAGAACATTCATTTTGTATGTGTATCGCACGAATGACTTCAACACCATCAGCTGTCGTAATGCGCATTACCCAAAATTTAGCAGAGATTCTTACATTGCTTTGAACATACTGAGAACTTGAACCACAAATTTTCTTTCCATACGCACCCAATCCGCCTCGAATGAGTCCTGACCCTGCTCCACAAAATCCATTCCCAAATTGAATTGGTGGATTAAGCCCTGGCCTGGAAACTCCATACTGGAACCCCAGATTCTCATCCATGCTGCAGTTTCATGGGTAAAGTTTTACAGCTCAGAAACATGATAGACAAGCAAATCTCAATGAACCAATAGAAAACTCCAATTGAGATAACGAAAGATTTACAGTTTATGTGAGAGTCTATGAAAATGACAGATCAAAACCTTATGGAAGCCGGCATTTCGGTTTCTTGTAACTTGAGCAACAATCAAAACCCATTCAACTAGCAGAAGAGAAAATTCTCATTAAATCTCTCAGTAATGCTCTTGAACCAAACTAGAAAGTTTATAGAGAAGACAATGTGATAGCTACATATGTTCTTTTTGACAAAAGCGCTATTCTAAACTACCCTGATAGGGGATTCGAACTGTATGCAAGAGCGTGAGCAAACTGCCATGGCCGACTGGATTCTTCGAGCTACATATGTAATTCTTAGAAAACAATGACTTAGGTTTTCTTTCTGGTTACCTGCCGACTGGCCTCATGCAGTCATGGATGATGCAAGAGGGTGACAGTTGCTTCAGCTGAAAGAAATCTTTTAAAATTGAAAGTAATAAAATCTTATTTACGATCAACAATGTCAAAAGAAATATTTAATCTCAAGATCCTTTATAAGTTCCTGACAATGGTTTTGGTATCTGACAAACAATGTTTTAATGGAGAAATCCCAGCAGAGCAAACAACAATTCATGGAACGGATTCAAGTTATTTCCCTAATGGATTACAAATTGGAGAGAGAGAGAGAGAGAGAGAGAGAGAGAGAGAGAGAGAGTACCAGAGCCTAATGAAATAGACAGAGAAACATGGTGGAACAATTTTGTGATGGCGTTGCATGGAAAACAGGAGAGATTAATGGCTCTACGAGACAGTTAGCGCAGTGTCAGACCACACGTGGCCAAAATTTACTAATTCATTCCCACGTGTCATTTGTAGAAAATCGTTTTTTTTTTTTTTTGTGGTTTTGTTTATATTTTTTTATTAACATTTGGCATTTGGCATTTGGCATTTGGAGTTTGAATTCCACTGACCATCTCTCTTCGTCTTCTTCTGCTGCTTCTCTCAAATTCTAGGGCGTAAGAAGATTTGCTGTTGGATCGCAAACTTGAGCAAGTAAGCTGCTTCTCGATCTGTTTCGCATTTCTATCGAATCAGATAAATGTTGCGGTTACGAGCATTCAGGCCGACGAATGAGAAGATCGTCAAAATTCAGTTACATCCCACGCATCCATGGCTGGTCACCGCCGACGCCTCCGATCACGTCTCCGTTTGGAATTGGGAACACCGTCAGGTACCCCTCTCTCTTTCTCTGTCTCTTCAATTTATACACTTCGTGTTCGTGATTCGACTGTGATGGATTCGAATTAGGTGATTTACGAGCTCAAAGCTGGCGGCGTCGATCAGAGGCGTTTGGTTGGCGCCAAGTTGGAGAAGCTCGCGGAGGGGGAATCAGGTACTTAATCCTGAAATTTGAATTTAGTTGCTGCGAGGCTCGTGAAATTCGATTGGAATTGTGTTCAATTTTGTGCTGCTTCTGAATTTCTGAGACCTAATTGGAAAAATCTAGCTTAGAGAAGCTAAATGCTTTTGCAGAAGTACATCGAATAACTGAAGACTGCGAATTTCGCTAACATTTCATTTGTAAAACTAGATATGCGATATCGGACAGAGTTAACTCTATTAGTTCTTGCATTTACTCAGCAGAACCATGTCCATCATTGATTGCCTTATGGTGTAAGATAAGGTAATGTACTGTTCAACTTAAGCATCAGCGTCGAACTCAGTTTATCCAGTTGGGATTCTATAATTTCTGGTTGGGAAATCTCAGAGGCTTTATAATTAGCTGCTCTTAAATCAATGACTGGCACAATTAAACTTAAGATCAATGCACAGATTTTTATGTGAGTTTGAAAGTTGTCGTCTTTCAATTGTTTTGTTTCATATCTTTAGCTCGAACCCTGGCAAAATATGATATTTGGACAACAAGAGAGCTAGTTTGCCTCAGTAGTTGTTTAAGATTTCTAAACTTCCACTGTTAAACCAGAGAATTACGCGCGCACACACACACACACACACACACACACACACATATATATATCTTTGTAATTCTTGTGTTTGCTTTTGGCTGATAGAGTCTAAAGGGAAGCCCACAGAAGCCATTCGTGGAGGGAGGTAATAGACACTGCAATTGGATTATTGTCCCTTTCTCTTTATTGAAACCTAGACACACACTGAGGGCCTATGCTTCCTTTAAAGTGTTAAGCAGGTAAACTTCTTTGATGATGATGTGCGCTATTGGCAACTTTGGTGTAACCGCTCCACAGCTGCTGAGGCTCCAACAGCTGTCAGTAATGTTGCATCAGCTTTTAGTTCTCCTGCCCCATCAACTAAAGGAAGACATTTTCTTGTCATTTGTTGTGAAAACAAAGCCATATTTTTGGACTTGGTAACAATGCGAGGTCGTGATGTACCAAAATCGGAGCTTGACAATAAATCGCTGCTCTGGTAAGTTATCGCTATTTTTCAGTATGTTTATGTATATTTTTCATTCATTTGAAGAAGTGGCATTCATAATACCTTAACACTGATTCTCTTATTTTTTTTCGTAATAAGATTAACAAACCTCTGAGTTTTGTTTTTGTTTTTGACATATTTTGTGCTCTGTTTCTTGTTTCCCTCTATGGATCTTGCAGTATGGAATTCCTTTCTAGATCCGCTGTTGCGGATGTTCCTCTTGTTGCTTTTGGTGGATCAGATGGTGTTATTAGAGTACTTTCAATGATGACATGGAAGGTTTGCGTTTTTCCAAATTTTCTAACATGCTGGCTATAACTATCCCTCACTTTGAGTGATATACTTGCTTCCTGCAGCTTGTAAGAAGATACACTGGAGGTCATAAAGGATCCATAGCTTGTTTGATGACATTTGTGGCTTCTTCTGGCGAGGTAGATTTTTACTTCTAAAAGATGAAATCAAATTGCTTTATTGCATGTGTTTATGCTATCTTTCTTTGTGAACGTTTTTTATTATTATTTATTTACTATTTTAGTTTGTGTCTGAGTGTTCAAATACCATAGGTGGCCTGATGTATTACATTGATTGTGCCTCTGGAGCTTCATAAAATGTTATTATCTCCTTATTCTTCAAGTTCATTCATATAACACTTAGGTGAAAGTAATTTTTCCATTCACTCTGCAGCATGATGTAGGTTGTAAAAAAATCTAGGAATTACAATATTGAGATGCTGGGTTGTTATGAGTGCTCATCAGTATCAACGGACTGGATGCATGTGTTTAAATGCTTCTTGTTTCTATATCTAAACTTTATTGCAGGCACTTCTGGTTTCTGGAGGTAGTGATGGTTTGCTCGTAGTTTGGAGTGGAGATCATGGTCAAGATTCACAAGAACTCGTACCGAAACTAAGTTTAAAGGCAATTATCTATTTTTTCTTGTCATTTTTCTCTTATTTTTCTTTGACAACTATTAGGTTAGATTACTGATGCATTATTTATTCCATATTATGGTTATGGTATGAAAATTATATGCAGATTTGAAACCTAGGCTGATCGATGCTATCATATTTATTTAAAATTTATATGGAAATGTGACACCCTGTTTGCTGAAACGGGTTTAAGATGTCCAATATTTTGAGGTAATGTAAACCTCACCAGTGCCTAGTGTTGGCTTGGTCAAATTGGACTCTGAATCAAACTGTAGATTTCAATTGGGCATCTTTGTTGAGGAATTTTAAAGATATTCCTTTTGGTGCAATTCTTCTTGGTGGTATATCATTGTATTTCGTCCATTTTTATGAATAGAATGTGTTTCCTATAAATAATTAAAAATCTCTGTTATATTGAACTCCATGAATTGACCTTCTTTCAGTTCATTCTTTCTGCATGCTTGAATGTAGGAGCTTTATGCATGTAATTTTTTTTCTTTTCTGGATGACATACTTGAACTAATGGAGATTTGATTATTGGCCATTTCTTTTATGACAGGCTCATGATGGTGGTGTTGTGGCTGTTGAGCTTTCTAGAGTGATTGGAGGTGCGCCCCAGCTTATCTCTATTGGTGCAGATAAGACGTTAGCTATATGGGACACGGTTTCCTTTAAGGTATCCCAATGTTTAAGAAAAGGCTTTGTGAAGTGCAACTGGTTTTCTGTTGAATGTTGGTGTTTATTTTACTTTGATTATATATTTCGTCTGCTTTTCTCTTTCAGGAATTGCGGCGTATTAAGCCCGTTCCAAAACTTGCTTGCCATAGTGTGGCATCCTGGTGCCACCCTCGTGCACCAAACCTTGATATATTGACTTGTGTTAAAGATTCCAATATATGGTATGCACAAAATTTTCTTTCTAGTGGGTTTCCATTACAACTTTCCATCAGTTAATATTTTTGGCTATAAAACAGTCGATTTATGATCAGAATCTGTTTTCTTTACCAAAAAAGTTGGGCATAACATACTTACGAGATCTGTGTTTGGCATCTTTTTTTTTTTTTTTTCCTTGTGAAATTCACCAAAAATTGTTTAAACTTTTTCTCAGGGCTATTGAACATCCAACTTATCCTGCAATCACAAGGCCATTGTGTGAGCTTTCTTCACTAATCCCTCCACAAGTAATTGCACCGAACAAGAAAATTAGGGTAAGTCACTCTTATGCTTATTTAGGTTTTTCGTCATATAACTTCTTATCAGATACTTACACTTAACTGTATCACAGGTATACTGTATGGTCGCACATCCTTTACAGTCCCACCTCGTTGCTACTGGAACCAATGTCGGGGTCATTATCAGCGAGTTTGACCCAAGATCGCTTCCAGCTGTAGCTGCCTTACCAACACCGTCAGGGAGTCGAGAGCATAATGCTGTATATGTTACGGAAAGGGAACTTAAGCTACTGAACTTTCAGTTATCCCAGACAGCGAATCCATCTCTTGGAAATAATGCTTCTTTGTCGGAAGCAGGAAGGCTTAGGGGGGAGTTGCCAGAAATGTTAAATGTCAAACAGATAAAGAAGCACATTAGTACAACTGTTCCACATGATTCCTACTCAGTTCTCTCAGTAAGCGGTTCGGGAAAGTAAGTAGCATCAGGCACTAGAAATGCCGGTCTTTAATTACAATAGTTTTCAAGCTTTGTTTAGGTGACATGGTTAGATTGATAGCATTAGTATTAGG